TGACTCGGTCGCTCGCTCGCTTTGGGGCCACACCAAGCAAGCCAGGCAAGCTAGGGCAAGAGACCAGGCCAGGCCAGGTCTCGTTCTCAGACACGACCCGGCAACGTAAACGTCAGGACTAACCTTTGTCCGATGTCCTTCAAAGGCGCCGTCGCTGTGAAAGCAACAGCTGTGCGCTCTCAATGCCCATCAAGCGAGCGAGAGAGCTGCTGCTCTTGGCTCTCCTTTCAGTGGCCTTCCAGCCGCCTTCCAGTTTCGAACTCTTTTCAATCGACAAAAGCTTCGTTATCAGAGCTTTGACAGAGCTGCAGGTATTGGAATGGGCAATAAAAGACAACTTCAGCGAGGGTTGTTTGTTGCTTAAGTAGCTGCAGAACCATAAGCAGAGGGGAAGGATACTTTGGTTATATTGGATAGAATATATGTATGTATGTAAGGGTTTTTCGAATACGATTAGATTGAGGTACCGCTTGTAGCTTTACAGATAATGTGGATATTACCACAAAGCAAACAACATCAGCCTCTATGTGTATTTTTCTTAGTGAAATTAAAAATTAGTTAAAACCTGAATCGGAACTAAAAAAGCTCTTCAATTCTGGTATAGATAAATCGAAGTCTGGCGAATATTAAGGGTAAAGATCCTGGATTAGATTATCATTGAGGTGCCGATACATTGCTGCCTCTACCAATAAAACAACAAAAGTATTCAAACTATAGTCACTATGTTTATGGGGTTTTTACTATACATACAAATATGAAAAGTTCTCCCTGAAAATGGAAATTTAATTAATAAGATACATTTTAAATTATTTTTAAGTTTTCTAATTTTTTCTTTCAACCTTAGACAAAAACTGATACAAATGTGTACATCTGGGCATCCCCTCCTTTAATTTTTAATTCAATGAGCAAAACCCGAAGATACAGGAAATCTTCCAGAAATTATAACCCTACGTTACAATTTCTGTTATTTCTGATAAGCTATTTCGATCGAAAATATTTATACCCAGTACTTGAAGAGTAAATAGGGTATATTGTATTTGTGCGAATAACGGTTGTATGTAACGCACAGAAGGAAGCGTTTCCGACCCCATAAAGTATATATATTCTTGATCAGCATCAATAGACGAGCCGATAGAGCCATGTCTGTCTGTCCGTCCGTCTTGTTGAGCGCCTAGTACTCAGAGACTATAAGTGCTAGAGCCACCAAATTTTGCATCCAGACTTCTGTATGCTCACACTGTTACAAGTGCATTTTAAAGGTAAGATCATTATTATGGCCACAATGAAGAAATTAATTTGCAGTGGCTAAACACACACTGTCCAGCAGCTTTTGTTTTTTTTTCACATTTTCTCATTCGCACTCTGCTTCTGCAGTTGCCGCGGCTCTGCCTCTGACTTGGATCTGAAGTGAGCGTCTCTAGGGGAGGGGGGCGAGCGAAAATAGCGTTTTGGGGTAAGAAGTTATGTAGATGTAGATCACAGGTGTAGAACAAATGTAAAATGTCAAATGTAAAATTCGAAAAAAAAAAACAATATGGTACAGGTACACTGACTGAGTGCCGAATATAAAAGTTGTGACGCGTAAGATGCGTCTCACACGTCCCTTTTCGTTTTGAGTTAAAGTCGAGCTTAAAGTCGCACATCAGAGCTTGCTCTGGCAGCTAAGGGAAGGATCCGCTGCTCTATCCGCTCGTCTACATACATAAAGTTATTGAAAATTCGCGTGCGATAAACAAGTCGGTTTATGAAACACTAATGAACAGAAACGGACAGAACATAGACTAAACTCCTAGCATCCAGACTTTTATTTTCTGGCGCAAGATGGAAACGCGGCCACGAATGCCCTCCCTTCCCTGATCGCTTTAATCAAATAAAGTTATACGACGATCCCGTATAAAAAGTCTATGCCGCAATACCTCTGCCTACGTTCCCTACACGACGCATGACCCCCTCAAGTTAGGCGCACTCAGCAGGAGTTCATATTAACGCTTATAGCTAAATTTATTCAACATCGCAAAACACATCCAAAGCTAACGGTTTTACACTAATTATTGAAACAACTTATGTTGATCTTCCAATGGCGATACCCAAATATAAAAGGGAAATAATATAAAGTAGGAAAGAAAATTATAAAAACATATCAAGGAAGAGGTAAATGTATGTGTGTATATAATAGGTGAAATGTAACTTTAAATTAAGAATCGAATATTGAATACGGAATATTAATGAATGGGACTAAATATAATTATGAAACGCATCTGTAAGAAGGTCTTAAACAAAAAAGAAGGAAAACAAAAAAATAATTTTTTTTTTTGGCTAGTGTAGTTTTTGTTTTGGTTTCTCCATGTAGGAAACTGCATGGAATGCATGGCATGCACAAGTTACAATAGCAGCAAAAGCAACAAAAGCTCTTATGCGCAGGTCGGTTCGTCTAGCGGGAAGAACGCACCAAAAAGGAAACAAAAAATTGATCTTTCATCACTCACAGTTTGGTATGCAAGTTTGTATGCTTACGGTACTCCCTCGCTGAAAGGCCTTTCACTGGGGTTGTGAAGAAGCTGTGGAATATAATAATTATGGTTTCCTGTTGGCTTTGGCCGACTGCATGTTATACTTCAAATATTTTTATCTCTTTTGTTCTTTTTTTTCACAAACTTATTTTTCTTTTTTTTCTTCTTTGACTAATATAACATAATTAACTAAGGGGGAATGAAAGGTTAATTAATAAAAAAAGACGGTGCTTTAGGCTTCGATTGCAGCCTAAGAAATATTCATGGCCCTCTTAGCGGTTCTACACTTTAGGCTGTGGCGCTTGCGCAGAGGTTATGGCAAGGTTACATCAAGTTGATGGCAAGGTTACTTCAAGGTTACGGGGATGTTGCGTAGATTTGATGGTTTTTCCAAAATGAGTGCAACTAGGTGCTGGGGCCTGGACTCCACCGGGCTCCCAAGAAAAACTCCCCACCCCTCAGCTTATTGCCGACAAGACGTCAAGGCGCTGCTGCTCTGGCTGAGTGTGGGGGGAAAGCGTAAGCGAAGAAAACAGCCAAGAGGCTATTATCGAAACCTTTGTTCTCTGCCACATTGGACCTACCGATCTTTCCGGGATTTCCGTGGATAATTATTACTTTCTTCTGTCCTTATACTGATGGTTTCTTTTTCACCGGCGTGGATGGGGTGCACGCCAGTGGACCAGGTGAAATCTAAGTTCACTGAAATCACTGCACGGCGTTCGTGTTAAATTTTTTTCATACACGTCGTTGGTCGAAAATTGACTCACTACTTGACAACTGTCATAAACGCAAGCTCACCCACTCAGCCGGTTTAAAAGCTAAGCTTTGCTTTTCCTGTCAGCATAATTTATCAGATTTTATCGCATGCGATAATATCATTCACTGCTTTTAATTATTTGCGTTCAGCTGCAACTACCAGCGCCACTACAGCCTGGAGCTTTATATGTGAACATCTTGTAGAACAACTTTATCTTAAAAAGCAAATAGTTTATTAGCCAATATAACATGAGCTTAAAAATATAGGTTATTTATTTATTTATTATTCTGAACTGCCAGGTCACATTAAACATTCATGTGAAAAGTCTATCACTTCCCTAAATATAGTAACTAATCTATTAAATTGCCGACAATTATTTCCTTTAGCCACCACACGAATTATGCCTCACACGAACCCTTTAGGGTTTTATGCTCGGATTATAATTCCCTCTACCACATCCATCATCTACCATCCTCAACTAACTCCCTTCCTCTTCTTAAATCTCTTATACTAGCCTACCTCTCTCGTAGTTAGTTTCATTTTAGTTTTATCTTGTTTTTGATTTTGGTAATTGTTGCTTGCTATAGTAGCTCTAGTCTAGTTGTGTTTAGCTCTAATTTTCCTCGAATATTAGCCTAACATCTATCTTTCCTGCATGCTCGCGACCGGTTCGGTTAATCGCGCCGCGCGTCATACGGCAGCGCCCCTCGGTCGGTTGGGCGGGAGGAGGGCTGCGTTCTGCTGAGTTCCGCGCGTAACAGGCTTTGGCTTGGTGTCGCATGGGCCACTTGATGGTGCAGTCATTGCATATCAACGTCCAGGCCACAATTAGCAAATCCAGGAAAAACGAGAAGAGACGTGTGAGACGCTTCTTACGCGTCACAACTTTTATACCCGACACTCAGTACTACATCTGCACCTTGGCGGTGTGTTGTCAAATTTTAAATTTGTTCTTCAACTGTCATCTACATCTACAACACTTCTCACACCAACACGCTCCTTTAGCTCGCCGCCCTTCCCTAGACTGCACCCTCGTGGCAGAGATAGAGGCAGCGCCCGCACACAAAAAAAAGCAAATATTAGCTGCGGGACGGGGTGGGTTAAAAGTCGCCAGAGGCAGGGGCAGAGGGAGGGCAGAGGCCGAGTGAAGCAGAAGCAGAGTGTGAATGAGAGAATGTGAAAAGAACAACAAAAGCTGCGGGACAGGGTGGGTTTAGCCACTTAAGAAAATAAATTTCTTCATTGTGGCTATAATAATTATCCAATCGGATCCCAATTTGGTGATCTGATTTCTTGTATCGTCAAAATTGTAGATATGGGAAGTTTTCGCACTTTTGCGGGGGCGGAAGAGGGCGTGGCTCATTTTTGAAATACACTTGAGTGTATGTGAGCATAACAGTGTGAGCATACAGAAGTCTGAATGCAAAAGTTGGTGGCTTTAGCTCTTATGGTCTCTGAGATCCAGGCGATCAACAAGACGGACGGACAGACAGACATGGCTCAATCGACTCGGCTATTGATGCTGATCAAGAATATATATACTTTATGGGGTCGGAAACGTTTCCTTCTGTGTGTTACTTTGTGCACAAATACAATATACCCTATTTACTCTTCTAGTACCAGGTATAAAAAAATTAATTTGAAATTTTGCAGGAAAATATATATGTGCATAATTATACATTTTATATTGAATATTTATAATTTCTTTGCACTTGCGTTAAATAAATAAAAGAAAAGCATAAATTGATTTCTATAAATGATGCTATGGCCAACCTTCTTGAGTGAAAACATTTTACAAAACAGTTGAAAAAGACTAAGATTTGTTTTACATTGGACAACATGCGGGTTGAACCTTAAGCTAATTGGTGTTCATGCGATCGAGTACCTTAATGTGGAAAGAATTAAAGAAAGAGCGAGTGGTTGCTACATTCAGTTGTCAAATTCAAATAAGGGTTTGCCATTGGCATCCCAGGTATTTTTGCATTTCTGGAAGGCACACACCAGATAAAGAGCTACAAGGAAACAAGTTAGAAGGTTACTCTATACAGATATTTGTTTCGACACTTACTTGTTGCTTCCCACTCGGATTTTGAGAGTGTACCCAGCGGCCTGCCTCGCTGGGATGCTTGAAATTCTGAGACATGAGCAAATTGTTCATCATTGCCATAGCGCTGAGGCTGTACAGACTCCAATCCGGACATGCGCTGCAACAGATTTCGACCATGGGGCAGAACTTCTTTGTAGTAGTCTGCAAACGTGGTCTTCCGCACCAGTTTCAGGCCATACTTGCGGCCAAGCTTGACCAAAGTGGGAAAATGGACCAGAAATTCGGGACAATCCACGACGCCTTCCAAGTGAAACTGATATTTCGCTCCGAACAGCGGCAGTGGATCCGTCTCGCAGTCAAATTTAATGTTGTAGACATCGTTGCCAAAGCTTTTGGCATCTGGACCGGCTTTGCGCTTTCGTCTCATTATCTCAAAGGCGTCAGGCATGGTGGCTATAAAATAGCCGCCTGGTTCTAGGCATTCGGCCGCATTTCGCATCATGCAGTCGGCCTGGCCGGGCGACTCGAAGCAATAGTGAAATGCAAACTGGCAGGAAACTAGATTCAGCTGCAGGGTGACATCCTTGTACCGCTCGCGAAGACGCACCAGCGTTGAGTCACAGGCAAAGAACTCGGCTGTGAATTTGTTGGCGTACTTGGACTTCTCAGCGCGCTCCAATATATCCTGGTATCGCCGCTGGCACTGCTCCACTGACACCTCGGCAATGTCAGTGCAAATTATGTGCGTAATGGCGGCCTTCTCCCACTTCAACAGGTCGCCGCCCTTTCCGCAACACATATCCAGCACCCGCAGGGCATCGCCCACGCGCTTCGATTCCTTGATTAGAGCCATGTACTCGTTGATCAGCTGGCTTTTCATCCAATTGTTGAAGTTGCGCATGAAGAAGATCTTGGACTTTTGCCGATCCCTGCGCCCGCCCTCCTTCAGCTCGTTGTAATGATGGGCCACAACATGGGTGTTTGCAGGGCCGCCCTCCTGTGTCTCACTCTCGCCACCACCACCTGCCGCATCCTCTTGATCAGCATCTATTGGGGCAGATGATGTAGTCGAAGTTTCTGCATTGCCTTCACTGCCCTCGTCATCGGAGAGGCTGACGCTTTTGTGTGCCTGGGCAAACTTTTCGTCGGCGGCATTTTCTACGTAGTTGATGCTCATAATAGAGGTGGAGAACTATCGATGGCACTATCGGTACTATCGACGGTTGTACACTATCGACCTAGCTCACTATCAATGGTTTTAAGTCTCGATAGTGTTCGATAGTATAACGATAGTTAACTTGTCAAATGATTTAATTTTAAAAAAAAATCCGAAAATGATTCCGCCACAAAGAATTCAACATGAGGGAAAAGAAAAAAGTTCTTTGAGGTCTGGAAGTACTTTAAAAGGTCTGAGGATAAAAAGATTGCAAAATGCTTGAAGTGTTAAAAATAAATAAAGACAAGCGGCAATACCTCAAACTTGCGCGATAATTTAAAACGATTCCACAAAGCATACGAAACCATGCACCTGACTCTAGACTCTCAACTTCATGCAAGCGAAACGTCACCGCTCAATGTGCCTCTCGGAGTCCCAGGCCTCTGCCACGTGCTGCGTGCTCTACACGCACTAATACACATGTAGCTTGGGCTTCTAGCTGTGTGTTCTACACGCACTAATACTTGTTGCTGGGACTTTGGCAGAGGCCTGGGACTCCGAGACGCACATTGAGCGGTCACGTTTCGCTTGTATGAAGTTGAGAGTCTACTAACGCAGTGGCTAACGAATAGATGGCATCCTCTAGCAGCAGTTGCTGATCCAGTGTATGAAGCAAGCGTTCCTCGGGCCTTTCCCCCCCGAGCACAGTGCTTCAGGCGCACAATCCATTGTCGTTTCACTCACTCTTACAGCGAGAGCCCTTTCACTCGCACTTATTGACAGCATTGTTCAAGCTCCTTTATAGTTGCTTCATGATCCAGTGTACGATCTATGGACTCTTATTTTAAAAGAGCAATGGTGTATGACGCTAACTCGACGCAAAAAAAAAGATATTGATAAAGCGTTGACTGAAATGGTTGCCAAGGATGTGCAGCCATTCAATATAGTGGAGAACGAAGGGTTTGTTAAATACTCAAAGGTAATGGATTCCCGCTACAAGCTTCCAAGTCGAACGCAATTACGAGATGTGATGATGCGTGATTTGTACAAAGAAACTTCGTGTAAAGTAGCGATTTTGGAGGGCATAATAACACACCATACATTTGGTGTTCCAAGATGGACTTAAACAACTGGAAAAGGATTAAAAAAAAAGCATTATTTACAAAGTGCAAGACTATTGTCAGATATTTTAAGCAAAGTTACATAGCCAATAAAAATTGCAAATGGCTCAGAGCACTTCGCTCACACTTTCTTGCAGGAAACACCAACAAAATGGAACAGCTTATACTTCATAATAGAGCGTTTATTAGAAACACACGAGGCGATTGCTACAGTTTTGTTGTCCACAATGCTGATGAAGTCAATATATTAAAGATATTGAAAGAACATTAACATATTTTCTCATATGTGCCCATGTTGGGGAACAGTGCAGTTCACTTTTCGCAGCATGTTGCTGGCTCATACAATGTATGTTGCCAACGGTAAAATACGTAAGTGCGAAACAAAATCCACGTAGGTGAGAATATAATAGAGACAAATTCCTATGTTGCGAGGGAGAAACATCCCTTAAGAGAGAGAGAGAGAAAAATACCTACGGAGAAGAGGGAAAATCCTTGAAAGAATTTTGAAAACCAAGCGAATGGGTGTTTCGATACCCTATATTCATATATTGTTATGATCCGCCTTTTTGCCGCCCTGGTCTATCGTTCCCGGCTAGCTCTCGGGGAAGTCAGGGGTGTTTTCGACCCGATAGCCAGGGGACGGATTTAACAAAAAAAACCTACTTTCTCGCGTGTAACGGACAGATCTCATTTTTTTTTACACGCGTCTACGTTGGCACTCTCCCCGGAGGGGTCAGTCGGTGTTTTCTATGACCATTGAGAGTCCCTCCCATCCATGAGCGTTCAAAATGTTGCACGCTCCCGATTAATAAACATCTGGTTCCACTCTTCCGACCTCTCTCGTCCCACCCAATCTAATAAGCTCTACTCCATTTTCATTTTCTTTTCACATTTTCAAATATACTTCAACATTTATTTAATTTTTTTTTTTTGAAGTTTTAAGTTACCGCTCTACCCTTGGGTAGAGGGGAATTATTTGGCCGCCCGCCTTTACAAGGGGGAAATCGCCACGTCGAAATATGTAACTTGTTACAGTTTTGCTCCAATACTTACCTGGCGTAGAGGTTATGTTCCCCACGTGCTTTTTAGTTTAAGTTAATCATTTTTTTTTTTTTTTTGAGGTTTTAAGTTACCGCTCTACCCTTAGGTAGAGGGGAATTATTTGGCCACCCGCCTTTCAAGGGGGAAATCGCCACGTCGTAATATGTAACTTGGTTACAGCTTTGCTCCAATACTTACCTGGCGTAGAGGTTATTTTCCCCACGTGCTTGCAGTGTGCCCAGACACTTCAATTTTAAGTTAATCATTTAAATTTGCATGCCACTTTCAGCTTTGTTTACTTAAAATTGGGGATGCCACCTCGGGCAAAAGAAAAATAGAATCGGTGTGTATTTTTTTTTTAATTCACCGCAAGGTGAATGTCAGTCGAGGTATAAACATTTTTTAGGAATTAAGTAGAGTTATAAAATTAAAAATTAACAAAATGTTGAAGTATATTTGAAAATTTGAAAAGAAAATGAAAATGGAGTAGAGCTTATTAGATTGGGTGGGACGAGAGAGGTCGGAAGAGTGGAACCAGATGTTTATTAATCTGGAGCGTGCAACATTTTGAACGCTCATGGATGGGAGGGACTCACAATGGTCAAAGAAAACACCGACTGACCCCTCCGGGGAGAGTGCCAACGTAGACGCGTGTAAAAAAAAATGAGATCTGTCCGTTACACGCGAGAAAGTAGGTTTTTTTTGTTAAATCCGTCCCCTGGCTATCGGGTCGAAAGCACACCTGACTTCCCCGAGAGCTAGCCGGGAACGATAGACCAGGGCGGCAAAAAGGCGGATCATAACACTCATTAAGTATACCATTATATACCAATATAACGGAAATGTACAATGAACTCAATTTCGTATTCGAAATATGCTAAGAAGGATTTAATATACCTAAATACGACCACCAAAATGCCATCGATAGTTCTCCAAGTTACCACCAATCAGCTGTTACCAATTCACGCGGAATCCGACGAAAAGAAAATCTAAATGCGATTTATCTGCTTTTTTAATCAATTTAACCATTTATTAGTAAAACCCACTGGCCGAGAGCTAAACAGACGCAAAATGGCCTGTAGCAGATATGAATATGTGAAAACATATGAGCAGGACGACACCATTCTGCCCAATGTGTGGATTGTTATTCGAATTGATGGCAAAAAATTTCACAAATTCTCCAAGACGCACAACTTTGAGAAGCCAAACGACGAGAATGGTAAACAAAAAAACTACTAAACATGGAGTTTATGACTCGCTGAACCTTTTCCTGTAGCTCTCAATGTAATGAACGCGGCTGCCACGGCTGTGATGCAGGAGTTCCCGGACGTTGTCCTCGCCTTCGGCCAGAGCGACGAATATTCGTTCGTCTTTCGCAAGGAGACGGCGGCATTCAAGCGACGCTCCGCGAAACTACTCACCTACGTCACCAGTCTATTCTCCACGAGCTATGTGATGCAGTGGACCAAGTGGATGAGCGTGCCCCTGGCCTACGCCCCTTGCTTTGATGGGCGCGTGGTGCTCTATCCATCGAATGAGAATCTAAGAGATTATCTGAGTTGGCGGCAGGCCGATGTGCATGTGAATAATCTGTACAATACAGCGTTTTGGAAGCTGGTTCTCGAGTCGGGATTCAGCAATCAAAAGGCTGAGGAGAGACTACGTGACACCTTATCGGCGGATAAAAATGAATTGCTATTTCAAGAGTTTGGCTTAAACTACAACAATCTGCCAGCCATGTACAGAAAGGGCACGATACTGCTAAGGAAGCGTGTGATAAGCAGTGGAGATAATGACGAAAAGGGCAGAAAGGCTATCGTTCCACTCCACGAAGATCTAATCTCATCGCACTTCTGGAAAAGTCACACAGAAATCTTGGGCAAGTATGTTCCAGGCACTTATAAAGCTTCTGAAGCCTTGCCCAGACTAGTGGACTTGCAATTAAGCACCAAACAGGAGCAGAAACAAGAGAAGCAGGAGGAACAGGAGAATCCAGAGAATCTGGCCGGGATTAGCTGATAATTCATCTTATGGCAATATATATTATTAGATTAAAATTACAATAAGCACACGCTCGAAAAAAAAAACTATACTAGTAGTCATCATCGTCGTCGTCGTCATCATCCTCACTGGGCTTGCTGGCGATGGAGCCATCGGCGTGAGGTTGCTTCTGGATCATAGCCGCTGCTTGCATACTCATCCACTGTTGCTGCTCCTCGCGTGCCTGCTCTTCGCGCGCCTTGGCAAACAGTTCTTGTTGCTGGCGCAGCAGCTCCTCCTCGGGAATGCCCAGATTCTCTAGCCTTGTGCTTTGCCTTCGTCGCTTGGCAGCAACCTCCTTGCAGTCGTGCAAGACTGCCTCCGCCTCCTGCTTGTAGTCGGTGAAGCCTAGTCGCTCCAGCGCCTCCAGGACGTGATCTGCGTTGATAGTCTTCTTGTTTCGCAAATTGCACACCTCGTTCGCCTCAGAGCTGATCAAATGGATAAACTCTGAGCAGCAGTTTAGTATCAGCTCTCGACTCTCGTTGGCCACGCGCACGGTGGGCACCAGCTCTTTGATGATCTTGTTGATGCTGGCGCGTGGCAGAGTGAGTTCGTCATCCTCAGCGCTAGGCGGCAGCAGCTCCTCTTGGGGATTGGACATGGTCTGGCTCGGAAGTGTAAACAAAAACCAAGCAAGACTAGTGGAAAATGCTTCTTGCTGAGAGTGCTGCAAAAGTGTGTTGGCTAATGCCAAACTGAAATATCGATAGCGCGTCAAACCTATCGACTGCTGTGAAGCGAACAGACGGAAAAGACGGGACAAAACAAGATTTGCATATTTAAAATATTAAAAACTACTTTAAACCATGGACGACTACGACTCGGATGACGAAAAATCTCAAGTTGAGAAACTGCGCCATGCCAAGGTGCCGCGCGGCATGTTTGTAAGCGGCTGGGACGACGACGCTGACGAACTAATTGAGGAGGACAAGAATCCACAGGGTAATCTAACAAAAAATTAAGATTAAAATCTTCTGCAATTTTGTTTTGTTTTTAAATGGGTCTCATCCACTCACTCTCAGCAAGCGTAGAGCGTATGATTCTGTGGGCCGTCAACGAAAATCGCATTAGTGAGGTGCGCGAAATCCTCCGACTCGACCCGGATGCCGTCAATGCCCGGGACAGCGATGGCTACAGTCCACTGCATCGGGCTGCATACAACAATTTTGCGGACATTGCCAAGCTATTGCTGCAGCACAAGGCCGACCCGAATGCCCGCACCGATTTGGGCTGGACCCCGCTGCACTCTGCCTGCAAGTGGAACAACGCCGATGTTGCTCAGATTCTGTTGCAGTTTGGCGCCGATGTCAATGCCGAGTCGGAGGGCAAGCAGACGCCACTGCACATTGCAGCCACAGTGTCCAATTGCAGGAACACTGCCACAACGCTGCTGCTGGACCGCAATGTACAGTCGAAGAAGGAGAACAATTCAGAGGAGATGGCTGCGGTCATAGCCCGCCGCACGGGCATGAGCTATCCCATCTTTGAGATCGCCCACGAGGCTTTCGAATGCGAAACGGGTTTGATAGATTAAACAACTAGCAATAAGTGCATCATAAATATAATACCTAATATACATTTTTTCAAATCGAATCTCATTGATCCCCCCTTCAGATGGCTGGTGTCCTCACGAAATGCTCATAGAATGCTTTTGTATATTTTACCATCTCGTCCTGCATGGCGGCGGGCACAAAGTAGGGATTTCCCTGACCGCCCTCAATGGTGCCCTTGGCCGTGTACCGCATGTAGCTGGACACAGTCGTCTCAGGCGGCAGCACCGCACCATCCTCAATAATGCAACAGTCTTTGATAACACAGCGACGACCCTGAGTCGAAAGGTGTTCAAATTTGGGAAACTCTTTCTATAGACAACCCGCTAAATACTCACAATAATCGCATTCTTGCCTATATAAACGCATGAGCCAACGGAGGCCGCAGACACCACAGCGCCCTCGCCCACAAATACATGATCCCCAATATGCATAGGGAAGAAAGCAATGCCTTTGCTGAACTGCTTGTACGGGGGTCGGATCACGGAATCCTTGCTAATCACGCAATAGCGGCCCGCGCGGACATTGGCCAAGTCGCCACGAATGATGGCGCCACTCTGGACAATAACCTTGCCATTCAGTACAATATTCTGTGATCCACAAAGCACTGTGTGGCGGCTCACTTTGTTGCCAGACGCCTGTAAACAAAAAAAGGTTTGGCCATGATGAAGTCATCCAATTGATCTTGTTCCCAAGGGATACTTGGATAATTTTAGCTACTTGCCGTCTCCACGTATTCATCTTTGCTGTAGTACGTATCCCCTATTTCCATTCTTTCGTCGTTTTATTCGGTTTTTCTTCAAATTTGTTTTTTTTGTTGCACTTGCCAACTAGTCAGTGTGACCGCGGAATTAACTACAAATATACCGTCCAATCCTAAAAAAATATACCAAAATATACCTTCTCATTTTAAAAATATACCGTAAATATGCCATAGTCTTAAATTATATTCCTCAATTTTGATGTTCTTTTCATGCCCAGTATACGTTTCCGACTCCATAAAGTACATATATTCTTGATCAGCATCAATAGCCGAGTCGATTGAGCCATGTCTGTCTGTCCGTCCGCCTGTCCGTCCGTCTTTTGAGCGCCTGGATCTCAGAGACCATGAAAGCTAGAGCCACCAAATTTTGCATCGACTTTTTTTTTTTTTTTTAATTTAATCGAAATTGGTTGGTGTGAGAATTGTGGTAGATGTAGATGACAGATGAAGAAAAAATGTAAGATTTGACAAAACACCGCAAAGGTGCAGATGTAGTACTGAGTGCCGGGTATAAAAGTTGTGACGCGTAAGAAGCGTCTCACACGTCCCTTCTCGTTGATATTACTAGCTTGCAAAGACTTTTAACACTGAAACACTAATTTAATGCGTTTGAAGAACCAATTTGGCTTATTTTAAATACTCATTTTTATTAGATTGTGTACCTTATGACTTTGTAATATATATTTTTTTTTAATTTTTAATTTAAATCACCCCTTCTGAAAGCAAGGGAGTCTAGTCTTCAGTATGTTTTCGAATGTATTTTCTAAATGTATGTAATTATTAAATTATTAAATTATGTATTAAGCCTAGTACTCAGAGCCGCATTCCGTACGGTTACACTTCTCAGGCATCTGTGTTGTTTTGTTAACCTTTTTTAAAATGTGTGAAAATTGAATAAAGGGTTAATAACATATTGAATGCTAAAGCAGGAGATTGCTTTAAGTGGGATTGGCGGCTCTTTCATTAGCGCCGAAAACTTTGATTAAACCCATACCGGCAGGAAAGAAACCAGGACCGTCGTTTGTCTGTTCATTTATGGAAACCCATGAAACAATACCCTTTGTATATTCCGCAGTTTGAAAATATGACAGAGAATTTGCATAAGTCTGGGAACAACATCTGCAGAATTATTTGATTGTTGGAGAGCAAGGCCGTGCCAAGGAATATTTGCTCCCGTGGCAAAGTTGTAAAACGTCAAATCCAAGCACCCTTCCCTTCCTATTCAAAATTGTATAGTTTCGAGTCCAAAATGTCGCCATCGCCCCTTGGCACGACCCTGTGGAGCAGTACTTGGTCCCAAAAGGAAAACACCTTTAAATATTTTGTTAACGGCCCAGCCGGGTCTGTTTTTTGGCAACATGAAGAAACTGGCGTTCAAATATGTTAAACAATATGTAGCGGGATTTTCTAGAACTGTTTTTTTTTATTGGCCCACACCACCCTACTACTTATTGCATGTTCGGTTAACTCAGAATAAATTAATTCTGACCTGTGCACCATGGGTAAAAAGCCCGTTTTTGGCATTAATCAAAAAATAAAGCTAGAGCTCTACAAATAGGCATGAATGTTCGTTAGAGTAAAGTGGAATTTCGGAAAAAATTTAGTCTTTTGGATCCCGCCTAGCTCCCGCCCGATACGAATAGGAACCCATTTACGTCGTATTTATTATAAAAAACGGGACGTGTGAGACGCTTCTTACGCATCACAACTTTTATACCCGGCACTCAGGACTACATCTATCGTTCACAATACAGAACACGTAGTAAAAAGCTTACTAAATAAAATGCATCAAAAAAATTGGATCAGTTAATCGTATTTTCCAATTTATGAGATATTTAAAACATAAATAAAATTGGTACTTTTTCCGTGCACATTCTGTGCAATAATGACCGATAGGTTTCACAGCAGATTTTTCGAAAGTGGCGCTATCCATGAAAATTTCTTGTACGCAACTTTGATGGTCACTATATTTCTAAAACAGAGCGTTAAAAACCGAGTATTGGTTTTAACTTTTAAAAATTAGCTTTTGGCCACCAAAACTGGTCATTGGGACAATAGTGCATCTGCACCTTAGCGGTGTTTTGTCAAATTGTAAATATTTTCTTCATCTGTCATCTACATCTACAACACTTCTCACACCAACACGCTCCGTTAGCTCGCCGCCCTTCCCTAGGCCCACACACTGCAGACGCAAAGCAGAGGCAGCGCCATCACACAAAAAAAAAAATTTTTATATTTGAGTCGGAAGAGTCCTCGCCAGGGGGAGGGCAGAGGCAGGGGCCGAGTGAAGCAGAAGCAGAGTGTGATTGAGAGAATGTAAAAAGAGCAACAAAAGCTGCGGGACAGGGTGGGTTTAGACACTGGAAATTAATTTCTCCATTGTGGCTATAATAAGGATACGATCAGATCCAAATTTGGTTATCTGATAGATATGGCTATTTCCTACGGAATGGCGTTCTTAGTTTTCTTTTATCTTCAAAACTGTAGATTTGGGAGGTTTTCGCCCTTTTGCGGGGGCGGAAGGGGCGTGGCTCATTTTTGAAATACACTGGTTTCAGTGTGAGCATACTCGGCTATTGATGCTGATCAAGAATATATATACTTTATGGGGTCGGAAACGCTTCCTTCTGTGCGTTACATACAACCGTTATTCGCACAAATACAATATACCCTATTTACTCGTTGAGTACCGGGTATAAAAATATGTATTTAAAAGATTAATTATGATAAAAGATATTTTAAAACATTTTAGAACTAAAAAATATATTTGATTGACTGATTGTTTGGTTAAAAGTAATTTGATTGGAATCGCTCCAACGTACAATTGCATTTCGATTGGTACTTGTTTAACTAAGTAATAAATTGGATAATTTTCGTTTGAATTGTAATAGTTTCTTCTTAGTTAGTCAGTGTTTGTCAATACTCTTTAAACTATAACATTTTATTGCGTCTGATTCACGATTGTTGTTGGTCCAGACCTCCAGCAGCGCTGCATGAGTGAACTCATAAGCTTCTGCAAAATTTAAAATTATTCGAAAAGGACAAAAACGGGCTAAAAGCATTAACACCACATGATTCTATAATAATTAGTTAATAACATATAACTTGAACCTCTGTGAAGTGGTGTGCTGTGCAAAAGTAATATTCCACAGAACACACGTGCAATTGTTAGCTAAAAATATAAACGAACAAAACATTAGACAATTAAAAACTTCACTCAACTATCAAAAAACATGCATTAGCAATTAATTGAAATACCTCGACCCATTAATTTCATATTTTTACTTTTATTTAAAATTTGAAATCGATCTACGATTAATCTGCAAGTTTCTCAATGTTTTCCGCACTTTTTACTAGTCAAAGCATCCCA